AGAAAGTCTCTTTTTGTCCATTTAGCTTGGTAGTTAAAAAGTTCAACTGCTAAAGAGTAGAAACTTAGAAAATTATGTCATCTTGTAAAGGGAGACCTTTACAAGATGACATAATTTTATAAGTTTCTATAAAAGAATATACAACACATTATTTATAGTAAACTGTACACTTTGTTTTGGGGTTTAAATGTCAATGGAAGAAAAAGCCAAATAGATGTTTATAGATACTTATTAGGCTTTACTTAGCTTTACAAAGAAGAGGCATAGGAAAGCTATATTAGGAGAAATAAATATAGTGTCTATTAATCAACGATGATAGACACTATGAACTGATTTGAAACCAAAAGAATCAAGAGTTTAACGAAAACATCCAATTTTTAGAGCATTAAATCGTGTTTATTACAGCCCATCAAGCGTTTTTTTTTTATTTTAAAAGGATCTTGCTAGATCCAATATAAAAAAAAATAACTCTCGGAAGTCGCTTCAGCGATAAAAAATATCGAAATAGCCAAAATTATAACGGATATTAAATACCCAAGGGTTTTTTATTCTGTTATTTGAGAATAAGAATTATATTGCGAAATCACTTTCAGAGTATTCTTGATCGTAAAGATTGACGAGTATTTTCATTCACCATTAATAATTTCATGTCATTTTTAATTTTAACAGTTAGTTTCGTCTGACTGAACTACATTTCAGTACAGGAAACGGCATTCAAAAACTACACACCTTGAACATATTCTGCCAAAGTTTGAGTTGGGGTTCATCAGACAAGAGTACCCACTGATGCCCAACCACAGCGTCTTTGTTGCTCAATTTCTTTGCCGGAAAAGCACTTAGATCAATTACATAATCTTTTCTTTGTTTTTATACCATTTTATTATCTTTTTTCTTTTCTTTTTTTTTAATTTTCTAAATTTTAATCATGGGTTATTAATCTTCCTTTCATAATCAACTTGTCTCTTTCTTTAACCTTATCTCTATCTCTCTTTAGAACATTTATTTCAATACACAGATGCGTACAGACATAGGTATATTAATCTGGTTACTTGTTTCTTCTCTAGAAAATAAACGACTTTGCGATTGTATATACCACCACCGTCTCTCCACCTGTATGCGGGAGTGCTGTAGCATTCGAAGCCTGAAGATCGAGAAGCACTTCCTAGAATATGTCTGTTTCACTGTGAATCTTTCACAAATTACATCTATCTATCTATCTATCTATCTATCTATCTATCTATCTATCTATCTATCTCATTCTGTTCATGTCTGTCTGTCTATCTATCTCATTCTGCTCATAAGTATCTAGCCCATTCTGTTCATATCTATCTAGCTAGCTCAGTCTTTCCATATCTATCTATCGATATATTTAAAGTTTCCACATTTTTCATTAGTCTTTCTATCTGTCTATTTTATTCAAAGTTTCAACGTTTTTCATTAGTCTTTCTTTCTTTCTATCTGTATTTATGTGTGTGTGTGTATGCATGTCCTTCTGTTTTAATTCTAACTTTTACCCTATCTATTATAGCAGTTCTCTGTCTTACTCATTCTGTCTATCTTTCTATCTATCTCCTTCCCTTTTTTTTTTTTTTCTCCAAGTATGCGACTCTCAACCTGTTTCCATTTGTTCTGGTCATATATTTTAACAAGCTTTTAATTCCCCAATAAAGCGGCAGCTGTACTCGGATTTTCTCACTTCAGTCAGCAAGATCGTTACGAATGTTCGGGGTGGGAAGAAGAGGATAACATTTTTAAAAGAAATATTCGTGACTCTGGAGATTAACGTCGTTGAAAACTAGCTGAGTCCAACGTAAGTGAGGTGGTGGGGGGTGGCAAGAAGGGTGTTAGGAAGAAAGAGAAAGAATAGGAGAAAGGAAAAAGAAATGTTTAAATCATTAATCCGTAGAAAAGTAAGCACAGGCTGACATCCATACATATAAACGGAAAAGAAGATGTAAAATTTCCCTTGATTCCAGTGTTGGTGTTCCCTGCCGGGTGCGCGACCAAGCGAGTTAACAGCCAACCAACAAGCGTAATAGCGTCAGAAAATAAAATAAAAATGAAAGAATAAACCAAAAAGCAAAATATAAAAAGTAGAGAAATGTCTCATTTTTCTCACGTGGGTGGGACAAGGGAAATGCACACTGCTTGAGGGACACGTGCTGGGCAATATGCCGCTTGTTATGACACTTCTTTCTCTCAAAACTTAGAATGCACTGAGACAGCATCAACGAGAAATAAAAAGCCAGAGAGAGAGAGAGAGAGAGCGAGAGAGAGAGACAGACAGACAGATTGGATAGAATTAAGAAAGGGAAAAAAAGGAAGGAAAGATGATAAGAAAGAGAGAGGGAGAAAGCAAAAGTAAAGAAGAGAGAGTAAAAACTAAAGAAGGAAAAGTGAAAAGAAGGAAAAGTGAAAAAAAGAAGAGAATGCAAAAGATAGCTGAATGGAAACGGTCTAAAACTGAGAGGAATGAGGAGGAGAGCAAAGGAGAGACGAACTTAAGGCGTCAAAAAAGAAGAAATAATGTGTACTTAATTTATCTATGGTTATCTGTCTATTAGGTTGGTGCGTAAATGTTTCCATGTTTCCAGGTACATTTGCATACACCTCATTTCTGTCCGAGTTTGTTCATATCCATCTCTCTATCTCTGTCACCTTATTCATTTCTTTCTTTCTTACTTTCTTTCTTTCTATCTATCTTACGATTTATCTATCTGTCACCTTATTCATATCTATTTTAGTTTGTTCATATCTATCTATCTTCATGGGGTTGTTTTATTAGCTATTAATGATTGATTCATGCTTCCTAGAACAATCTAAGAAATGAAAGTTTTGACCAGCAATTTAAATAGCAACGTGTCGTGTAGGCATCAATCAGTTTCAAGAGACTAGAGTCCATTAAGATATTTAATTAATCCCTGTTGCATACGCCTTCCCAGGCACATTTGTGTTATTTCAACGCACAGATAGCCAACCAGCAACTATACTGAGCAGATCTTGGTTACAGTTTCTGCGAGAGAGCGCATTATCTTGCGTGATCACTAATTGGACATGGCTTGTACGCTTAAATCCTCGGTCACGATGACTTGGGACTTTGTGTTAGCACAACTGTAGACGGCTTCCGAACAGTTTCGTTCACTTTATTTCATTCACAGTATTTGTCGCAACGAGTGGTGTGATTTTCAGGGGCTTTCCTCAAAGTTGCTTCACATTTCAATCATCACCTCCTGCCGATATTATCAAGAATTCACCTAAAAAAAACGACTATGATCCCATTATATTAATTTTAACGTTCTAAGCACTCGGCCACATGAGTATCGCTCTATTAACACACACACACGCACACACACACGCGTACACACACACGCACGCAGACACACACATAAAGAAGCACGCACACACGCGCACGAACATATATTTTCAAATTTAAGATATTTTTGTTTCACTTTTTGGAAAATTTGCTCATGTGTATTTCAGAAATATATTATGCAGCTTTTGAATTTTTAATCTCCATATGCAAACTATTGCCTTCATCTTTGTTATTATCACGTTTCGACCGTTGTACCCTTTGGCTTCATTAGGTGCTTGTCAATTCGAGTAACCTTTAGTACTAAGAATATTACAAGGTACTTAGACATGGATATAAGAATTATAACAATCTATCCCCGTAGATTAAATAAAGTGCTTATTCCGAAATTCCCTTACGCTTACTCGGATCGACAGAGACCTGATGAAGGCCGGGGTGCACTACGATCGAAGCATTTTTTTTATACTAACAAGAAAGATGTGGACAATAGTCCAAGTGTAGATAATATAAATGACAATAATTTCTCATCGCAGAAATTCAGACAAAAAATCCTTACTCGAAATTAGGGACCTTACAAAAAATTTTAAATCGTTTTTGTTTTTTTCGCTTTGAAAAAGTTAGATTTTCTAAGAAAAAGATCTTTTGTAGTTTTAGGTACGCTAATTTCTATGGTGTTTTAATAAGTACTGTTTTTCTCTTACTTTTGAAACCAAACGAAACGAACACCAAAGCCTTTAACCTCACGACTGCTTATCCTCATCCCTGCCATTGAGACAAATGGTAATATTTCATCTGCAGCGTTTGTAATTGTCTTCGTGTAATCCTCTGTGACCTTCTTACACTTGCTCTACCAATGTCAGACCTAGTAGTGTACTAAATAACATTATGGATTATTTGTCCGATATAATTATCATTATCCATGATTTCGATGAGAATAACACGTAATTAAATATGTGGATGACACATCATTCCCAGTACAGACATTAACGAAATACGATCGACAAATTTAGAATGAAACTTGCGAGTAACAGTCTCGGTTCAAAATTGTCTGAATGCAACTTTGCAGTGTACAAAAACTAATAACAACAAAAAAAAACCTGACATAACTCAGATATTATTTGTTTTGTTTTGCTAGCAACTTTTTGAGTGTCTCTTCAAAAAGCTATCTTCTATTATTTGACGTGATGACAAACTATGATCTTTTGGTTGCCACAGTATGGCAATAACTCTTCATGTCGTTGACGAGAAAGAAGGCTGGTGGAATGAGAAGCAAATTTGACAAGACTGACATCACAGGTATTGCTAACAATGCAATAAACGCTAGTGGTGAGGCGGGAACCATTTCCGGCAACTAGAAGATGAAATTGGGAAGGCCAAGCATGATTTGAAAAAATATTGAATAGTCTCTTTAATTCTAGACTCATTTTAAAATACTTAGACTCACTATACAAACGAGTTCATGGATGCACACGCACTCACACAAACATGTACATATATGCATATGGAGAACCACCATTGCTTATGTCTTTTCCCTCTCTTTATCATCATCTGCCTTGTTGGAAAATTTAGTGGAGTACATCACTTCTCCCTTCTCCAGGGGTTTTGAAATCAAAGCAGACCAACTCTTTAATTAGCAATCACCTAAATTAGAGAAACTCGTCTTATCCTGCTATTTAAACCATAGTTAAAGGAAGAAGAGATGAATTCATGTTTTGTTTGTTTTTTGGGGTTTTTTTTTTTGTTTTTGTTTTTTGGGTTTTTTTTTTTTTTTTTTTTGTGTGTGTGTGTGTGTGTGTGTGCGCGTGTGTGTGCGCGTGTGTGTGTGTGTGTGTGTGTGTGTGCAAAAGTAAATACAGCAGATGAAACCGAGATTTAAATCCGGCTTGTCGATTCCACTTTTTGTGCTGATAACAATTATACAATTCGTATGTACATAATTTTATTTTTTGCTTCCAATTTTGACTAAATTCACTGCGCCTATGTCAAAATTTACAGTTTACTGTTTTTTAGTACATACATATTTTTGCAGAGAAATTTTTGTCTTAAGCTTGACAACTTTACAACGAAAGCGATAACATTGATAATTTATTGCTCATACATATTTGATCACTATCCAGTAAAAAAGAATTAGACAAATGCCCCACTTGCTTCAGCTCTAGTTGGATCATAATGGAACTGAAATTATAAAAAATATAAATTCTACATTTGAGCATAACCAGTGAACAATTATTAAGATTTTTCTTTTAAAAAATTTGTATTCATATATTTTAGTTTAACAACTTAGTGAAAAAAATCGATCAAAGATAAAGATTTTAAACGTAGACTGAAAAGTCATTTAAAAAAGAAAAAAAAAAAACACGTAACCGTAGAAAACATCAATGAATTAATTGGCACAATTCCAGTTGACTTAAGATTGATTACAAGAAAAAGAAAACATTGATAAATTAATTTAATTTCAGGCATAAGGAGGCCTGTATTAATTTTGTGAAAGGATATTAAATAGTCGACAGCAAGGTACACATTTGATTTTCAAAAATGGGATTTTTCTAATAAGCGAAGCACTGTACAATAGCTGAATTCAGATGAAAAACCGAAAAATCACTGGAATGACGTCACTAATCCGGGAAGGTTATGGTAATTGATTGATGATGTAGGAGTTGTTTGGTGTGATTTTTTGGAGTTTTTTTTATTCAGAGTTTTTATACAACAACCAAAATTTGAATGCGCATGAATATGAAGACCAGCTTAAAATAGTGCTTTTGAAAATCAAACAGTGATTAGTTTTGTGAATAGAAACAATGTCATATTTACTGCATAAATAAAGACTACGTTTTATGTGACGAAATTGACTTTATTCGAGTAGAATTTGTTGAAGATAGCAATCAGTTGGTCCTCCTAACTGATACCCAACAGATTTTACTGATGTAAAAATACAAATAATAATAATGCCTGTATAAAGAATTGTGTTAAACTTTGAGATAATTTCCCATAAACGTTTCTATTGATGCGATGAAACTTTTGGTTTAAATTTCGAATTTAAAATTAAATTAAATTAAATTAAAATGTACAAACGTCTGATGAAAAAGAAATCTCAACAAGTACATAAACTTCAATTTCGCTGGAAAATATCGTTGCTGGTTTAGAATTTTTTTAATTGAAAAAATCAAACAAAATAAACAAAGATCTGTATATTTTAAGGAAGAGATATTTCCTCTGTTCGAGAATTTTTCAAAATCACACACACATATATATATATATATATATATATATATATATATGTGTGTGTGTGTGTGTGTGTATGTGTATAGGACTAATGATATATTTCTGTTAATTTTTTATAATGTTTTCTTTGTATGCAAACAAAAGATTATTCGTTAGGAGCTCTTTACGCTGATCTAGAAGCCATTTTCAAGTATTGTCCTCTTGCAAATGATATTTAGGCTGCTGAGACGTATACATATTTTTAATTCCCTAACAAAAACAGTACATTATGGCAGTGTTCGTCGCTGAAATGACTGACAGGTTTTTTTTTATGATTCCAGACCTAGCAATGGAATCAATATAGTTTTTCGACTTCATATCAGCTGAGAATCTTAGAGCGAGAAGCTACAACGAGTCACATTTATGGAGGTTAGCGTCAACTATGCTAATTGGGGACAGGAACGAGTCTTTCAGGTGATTAATAAAAAGAGATGTCGTTTTGGAGGCGTTAAAATTAACAATCCATTCCTTGCCCCAGTTAACAACCAACTGTAGGTCATTTACTATCGAGACAGGAGTAAAGAGTTTTGCCATTAGCATAGATACCAAGTTAAGAATCTAGACTTTCACTTTATGGAGAAGCCCGGTATGTCAAACCCTGACAAACGCTTTTGAGATTTCCAAAGCAACACCAGAGTTTCAGCAATCTTATGTAAAAGTTTGATAGACTCTTTCAGTATTAATCGTTAATACATCAGCAGTTGATCTAGAGAAGCGAAAGCTCTTTTGCTTGTCTAAAAGAAAGCCCTGGCCTGTGATGTGCTTGATGAATTCGGGATTTATTAGGGCCACGAGTAGTTTACCAAAAAGTTCGAAAAGTCAGATAGTTCACCTGAAGACTGGGACACGAGGAAGAGGATTTCCAACAAGTAGGAAAGCAAGAGTCAGTGAGACATTTTATTTGTCTTTGTAATGCCAGTTCGTTCCTC